TAAAAAACACAACTCGGTTTCATGTGACAGACGGCTCTGAAAATGTGATGAAACAGTCTGAACACAAACAGTTTCTTTGATGCCGTTTCAGATCTTGTGGTGAATTTTCCGACACAGAAAAAGGAAATTTTAAATAGTTAATAAGGTATTTAAGAGCGCGTAGTTACTAACGTTGACCCAATTTACCAGCTGAGTGTGTCGCCTGATGAATGACACCGGACTGAAGCCTCGCTACATCACCTTTACAACGCTATAAGAAGAAAGTGTTGAGGCAAGAAGAAGGTTACCTTGTTTACAGCTTGGTTAGCGTCATAACTACTTGGTTAGGTTTAGAATGAGTCAACGCTGACTTTTGGTTTCACACGGGGCACAAACTGTCTCTATATACAGACACAGAGTCACATGGTGTCTCTCTCCCTCTGCCTGTGTTGTATCGCAGCCTCTCTGTGGTTTGTTTCCATAGCCGGTCTGCTCCCACTGAAACTGCTGTTTTTATCGTCTACGTCGGTGAATTAAGGATTTATTTCCACCAAACCAGAGTTGGTGATTGTTGGAAACACTAACAGAGACGCTTTTAATGAGTTTTATTCTGTTTCTGTCCACTTTGAATGAATGAATGAATGAATTGATGTGAAGGTAAAATGAGTGTTTCTGTCTCTGCAGTCTGGTGGAGAGTGATAGTGATATTACGGCTGTTTGTGGTTAAACTAAAGGTCTATCTCTGTAGGGATCCTTTCCATAATGCTGTCAGACACTGACAATAACAACCTGAGTCTGTCAGTGGCAGAAACATCAACTGTTAGTGGAACAAACAACGACTACTGTTAGTGGAACAAACAACAACTACTGTTAGTGGATTCACATTAGCTTACGTTGTAGCGATTTCAGCCCTTTTCACGAGTATTTTATATATAACCTTTAATAGGATGGATGGACGTATGCACCGCTGGCAATCTGAAAGTTATTCACACGACATTTCGTGCTGCTGGTCTGAAATTAATGATCTGCCACCGTTATCATTGTGAATATGTGCTGCGCCAGAGTGGGAAGCTTGACAGGCGTTCTCTCACCATCTGGCAACCTACATTTACATTTACATTTACATTACAGTGGACATGATGTAAATATGGAGTCAGTCTGCGTGTGTGTGTGTGAGAGGGGTTAAAGGTCAGTTAGAGCCCATTAGGCTGCTGCCTCAGCAGAGAGGAAGCAGACGTGTAAATCTTTCGCCTCATTAGCTTCATGTTGTCAGACTGCGAGGAGAGCACGCTCCCTGATCATGTTTCACAACAACACAGCAACATCAAAACATGCTGACACGCAGCCCCAAATCAATTGACCAGTTAATCAATCCATCAATAAGTCAGACAGCGAACCAACGAGCCGCGCAACCTGCTGACCGCACGAAGAGCAGGAACCCAACTGATGGTCTCGTCGAGTCCACGTCTGAGAGAGACAACAATGATAATGAGATTCTACTCCTCAGACGCCTGGTTGATATCTTACAGACAAAGAGACACAAAACGACTACAAAGAGACTCATGATGAGGCGCAAAGAGACGGAAAACAACGGAAAAAGATGTAAAAATGACAAAAAATATGAAAGGTGACTACAATGAGAAACTAATCAACGACAAACAGATGCAGAAAAAGACGTAGGATGTAAAAATGACTGCAGAGAGACTCAATAAAACCCACAAAGAGACACAAAACGACTACAATGAGACTGTCTTTGTTTCAAGAGGTCAGCAGGTTGCTTGAAGAGCAGAAGAGAGACTGATGGTCTCGTTGAATCCACGTCTGAGAGAGACAACAGTGATAATAATGAGATTTTACTCTGCAGACGCCTGGTTGATATCTTAGAGTCAACTGCAGTAGTGCTCGGGAGGCCACAAAGAGACACAAAATGACTACAACGAGACTCATGATGTGGCACAAAGAGACGGAAAACAACACAAAAAGATGTAAAAAATGACTACAGACGAACAAAATGACAAAAAATATGAAAGGTGACTACAATGAGAAACTGATCAACGACAAACAGATGCAGAAAAAGACGTAATAAATGACTACAATGAGACTTTAAAAGAACTACAATGAGACTTTAAAAGAACTACAATGAGACTGTCAGCTGGTTGCTTTAATAGCAGAAGAGAGACTGATGTGTGTGACAGTGACGATGATGAGCCTTTAGGGTTTGGGAGGTGAACAACTGACAGAAATGTGGTTTCATGTAAATCTGACTGTCAGTACTTTTACAAACATTATTTACAACCTAAAACTTCCACATTGTGAAGTTATGTTGCAGCGATGCTACACTCGCTTCCTGTTTACTGCAGAGGCGTGTTACTTTATTAAAGTGCCTCGTCATGCTGCAGCTCACCGCATGCTCTCTTCCTGTTTTCGTTGTTGTTGCTCGGCTGAGCAGACGACCGTTTTACTACAGGAAGTCAGACAGAAGTTGGTTTGTGTTGGTTTTTTTTTTTTTCATAAACCGCAGCGTGACAGAAAGCTGAGTTCAACTGCGGCCGAGGAGGAAGCGGCCGTTGGGGTTGTTCTTCGGTGTCTCGTGTTCTCTGACGTCCTTCAGAGCGGAGCTGCTGTTCAACCAGGAGCTTAAATAAAGAGCTGAAGAAGAAATGTGTCACAGTGTTAATGAGTTACAAACGTACAGTAAAGAGTGAGTGGGTACAAATAGAGTCTGATTCAGAGACAGTAAAGGAAGCTCTGCTTTAAAGATATAGCATTTAACTTTATACTTCAAAATGCCTATAAACAGAAAAACTAAACTCTTACATTATTTAAAACGAGGCCCCAAGAGGAGAGGAAGAGAGGATAGGAATACACTGTATCTTTATGGATGATATTGATCAGTATACACTGTATCTTTATGGATGATATTGATCAGTATACACTGTATCTTTATGGATGATATTGATCAGAACACACGTATCTTTATGGATGATATTGATCAGTATACACTGTATCTTTATGGATGATATTGATCAGTATACACTGTATCTTTATGGCTGATATTGACCAGTATACACTGTATCTTTATGGATGATATATCAGTATACACTGTATCTGTATGGATATATTGATCCGTATTGACAGTCAGACTTTCTTTAGCTTGTGTTTTCTAGAGTTACGTGTTGTTACGAACACGTTAGGAATTGTTAAAATGTGATATTTCTTAAAGGGAGTTTGGTGCAGGGAGCTTTTAGTTAAAGACTCCTTTATATAAATATACTTTGCAGCTCTCTCTGTCTGTGTTGAGCCTCCTCACACTGAGGAAGAGGAAGTGAGAGCCGTAGTAAAGAAGTGAGAGTGTTTCTGAGGTGAGTCAATGACTTCAGTTCAGGTTTGACGGTTGCAGGATTTTCCCGCCTTTTTCGCTCACATGACAGCGCTGACCCGGCGCTCGGGGTCGCTCTGTGTTGATACGAATGTGGAAGGAAGCAACAGTGTTGGGTGCAGCTGACAGTGCGGTTGAGATGTGTTACACTCTCGCTCGGCTGCGTCCTGTACAGTCAAACCACAGAGCACACAGCAGCACAGTAGCAAACTTTAACAACAACAACGAGTTTCTCAGGCCTGATGCTCTGTGGCATTAATAACGATACACTCATCATATATCTGATGTGATGAAAACATGCAGACTTAAACACAGAAAACCAAAATATTTCACAGTTCCTGTTTATTTAAAGCTTTTTCCCACATTTACATGTCAGCTGATGATCATTTGCCCACCATGTTGGATGCAGTTGCCCCAAGAGGAGAGGAAGAGATCCTGAACTTAAAGTTATAATCAGTAACATGTCCTCATTAAACAGTGTATAAACTCTATGTTCTATATGTGTTCCTACATTATCCCAAATGTTTCCAACAATGTTCAAGCTCAGTCTGGAGACTCATTTTTACACATCTTTACTATCACACAGAAATTGCTGTGTGTCGTTCCTGCAGTGTTTGTCTCCTCTGACCTTCGCTGGTGAGGATGTTTGTGGTCAGATCGGCTCCAGAGTTGAGAGGAGGATCAACCCGATCTCTCCCACAGCCTCGCTGACTGATGGAGTCTGGGTAATCTTATAGCCAACCAGAGAGTTCGCCACCATCCCAGCATTTCTACTGCACGTCGGAGGGTCTTCTGCTCAGCTGTGTTAAAAGAATTGCATTATGGGAAGGTGCTGGAGTACAAAGATGCAATCAAAAAACTATAAGCTAGCACCCGAGTACCTGAAATACCTAAAATACCTGAAACAGGACTTTTATTGTCGCTGTTGGACAGAAACTGGAGAACACATAATGGCAGAAATATGTGATATAAAACACTTTAACCTTTGTGCTCAGTTACCGTGCTCCTCGCCAAAACAACACCCGACGCCGCCGCTCTGACTCACCCGTCTGCAATCCCACCGCCACAACTTCCCACGGCCTGATGACAGCAGCGGAGCAGCACGCCGTCACCGAGCCTAATACCTGCTCCTCGATAGCTCCTTTTACTCTGCAGAAGAAGCGAGTTTCTTTTTTAACCTCACTAATCCCTGTTAGGACGTGCCTCTGCTTTCTCGTGAGCCCTATTCGGACGGGATTAGTGTTACGGCGAGGAGGCGGGGAACTGTAATCGTCACCGGAGCATGTCTGTAATTTTAGTGTTGTGTAAATCTGCCACGTTAATAGTTTTTACAGACTGTGCTATAAAACCCCAGCCTGTTTTACCGTCTGTGAAACACTCAGTGGATAACAGCAGAGCATTGTTCCATCAGTAATGTAAGACTATATATACTGTACATGGCTCTATATATAGATATAGATATATATATGTATATATATATGTAAACGTACTCTTTATATATATATATTTTATCAGGAAGTTACAAGAAGATCTCATTTACAAGTGAGACTGCAGAGTAAACGGTAAAAATACAATAAAATAGTAAAGAAATAGCAAATATTTAAAAATATTTGAATATAAAGAACAACATGAGTCAATAACCCCGACATAAATATAAAAACAGATAAATAATACAGCAAGGAGCAGATCAAGCTAGCAGCAGTGCTTTGAGCTAAATGCTAAAGTTAGCATGCTACTATGCTGATGTTTACAGGTGTAATGTTTACAGGTACAATGTTTACAGGTATAATGTTTACAGGTACAATGTTTACAGGTACAATGTTTACAGGTACAATGTTTACAGGTATAATGTTTACAGGTACAATGTTTACAGGTACAATGTTTACAGGATAATGTTTACAGGTACAATGTTTACAGGTACAATGTTTACAGGTATAATGTTTACAGGTACAATGTTTACAGGTACAATGTTTACAGGTACAATGTTTACAGGTATAATGTTTACAGGTATAATGTTTACAGGTACAATGTTTACAGGTATAATGTTTACAGGTATAATGTTTACAGGTACAATGTTTACAGGTACAATGTTTACAGGTGTAATGTTTACAGGTATAATGTTTACAGGTACAATGTTTACAGGTATAATGTTTACAGGTACAATGTTTACAGGTGTAATGTTTACAGGTACAATGTTTACAGGTATAATGTTTACAGGTGTAATGTTTACACCTGAATGTTACACCTGTAATGTTTACAGGTGTAATGTTTACAGGTACAGTGTTTACAGGTATAATGTTTACAGGTATAATGTTTACAGGTACAATGTTTACAGGTACAATGTTTACAGGTGTAATGTTTACAGGTACAATGTTTACAGGTATAATGTTTACAGGTATAATGTTTACAGGTGTAATGTTTACAGGTGTAATGTTTACAGGTACAATGTTTACAGGTGTAATGTTTACAGGTACAGTGTTTACAAGTGTAATGTTTACAGGTGTAATGTTTACAGGTACAATGTTTACAGGTATAATGTTTACAGGTATAATGTTTACAGGTACAATGTTTACAGGTGTAATGTTTACAGGTATAATGTTTACAGGTATAATGTTTACAGGTACAATGTTTACAGGTGTAATGTTTACAGGTACAATGTTTACAGGTGTAATGTTTACAGGTGTAATGTTTACACCTGAATGTTTACACCTGTAATGTTTACAGGTGTAATGTTTACAGGTACAGTGTTTACAGGTATAATGTTTACAGGTATAATGTTTACAGGTACAATGTTTACAGGTACAATGTTTACAGGTGTAATGTTTACAGGTACAATGTTTACAGGTGTAATGTTTACAGGTACAATGTTTACAGGTGTAATGTTTACAGGTGTAATGTTTACAGGTACAATGTTTACAGGTGTAATGTTTACAGGTACAGTGTTTACAAGTGTAATGTTTACAGGTGTAATGTTTACAGGTACAATGTTTACAGGTGTAATGTTTACAGGTGTAATGTTTACAGGTACAATGTTTACAGGTGTAATGTTTACAGGTACAATGTTTACAGGTGTAATGTTTACAGGTGTAATGTTTACAATCAGTAGTTAGGTAGGGTCTGTTTACATTAGCTCACGTCGATGTGTCTCTTTTATCTTTTAATCATCTTCAAAATGTGGTTGTCTCAACATAGGTTAGCTTAGCACATAGCATATCTGTGTTAGGAAAGAGGAAGTTTAATTAGTGTCAGAGTTCATTCCACAAACTTCAGAGTGGATCTCCTTCCTGTGATGATAAGATAGCTGTTGGGAGCTGATAGCACTCAGGTATTGATTAGTCTGAATATCAGTGATTATTGAGGCCCTGCTACCTGCTGTATTAGCTGTTTCAGGTGTGAATATTCAGAGCCCCCCCGGCGGTGCGTTCAGGCTGTCTGTATATTTTCCCTTCAGATTGAGGAATAAACACCTGATGAAACTCTGATGCAAACGGAGGCTGAGTGTTTCCCGCCGCCGGAGGCTCTTCTGGCAGAACTACACAGCCTCCTCTGACACGTCTCACCAAAATAAAACACGTTTGATGCCGACACGCTTCGCAGGACAAATCCAGCGTGTGTTTTCTCATCCGATATGTTTTTCATCCCTTTAATGTTTGTTCTGACTAAAGATCATTTTAATCAGTTTAGTCAGAGCTCTCGGGGCTCATTCACCTCCGTTCGGTTCGGTCTGTAATCCGCCACGTGAGCGAGCAGCAGCCAGGTTGCATCACGGCGTTAATATCAGTGAACACTCAGAGTGTGGAAGTTAAACCAGGACCAGCAGCGGTCTGGAGACGGGGGGAGTTCATCCTTTCATATAACAGTGATTTGTGACTCTGAGACGCAGAATTAATAAAGTTTTGAGGTTTTTTTTAGGTCAGGCCGCCCTGGAGGACCGCTGGGTCTGACGTTGTTTCTATTTCATCCTCATAAAGAAAACACAACAGTGAGTTCCTCCACTTCAGATCTCCTCTGACTGGTTCACTTCTGGCTGCACGCGGCATTTTATTTTGAAAATGTACCGGATTCTCTATAGACGATATGTCACTTCCTTGTTTATTTAGAATGACCACGCCCCCTTTTGGGTGAAACAAGTGCTGTAAAAGTCCCCCAGTGGTTCTACGTCTAAAAGTTTACTTCCCCAAAGAGTGAAGGTCAGTAGTAGAAGAAGAGCTCTGTGGCTTTAATCCACAGAGAGGATGAAGATGTCTGTGTCCAACTCTTCCTCACAGGTTAGTTAATGACAGACAGTCAGTGAGTGTGTCTGTGTCCAACTCTTCCTCACAGGTTAGTTAATGACAGTCAGTCAGGGTGTGTGTGGCCAACTCTTCCTCACAGGTTAGTTAATGACAGACAGTCAGTGAGTGTGTCTGTGTCCAACTCTTCCTCACAGGTTAGTTAATGACAGTCAGTCAGTGAGTGTGTCTGTGTCCAACTCTTCCTCACAGGTTAGTTAATGACAGACAGTCAGTGAGTGTGTGTGTGTCCAACTCTTCCTCACAGGTTAGTTAATGATGTTACTGAGTCAATGTGAGCAGATTGTGTCTGTAGACTGAAGAGAATCAGAGTCTCACTGATGGTGGAAATAAAGGTTTTACTTCCTTAAAACAGACGTTTTTTGAATGGAGTTTGGTGTGACAGTGTGGAGCAGAGTATGTGTGAATGTGTGTCAATTTCCACACTGGATCAACATTGTTGGTGTCTGTTTATTGGTTCCTGAACGCACCATCTACAGTTAAATCTAAAATTGATTTAAGGGCTTTTACACACTGTTTCCTCGTCTTCATCACCTTCCTCTTTACCTCCGTCCTTTGCGGCTCATTTTTGGAAAGTGAGGACATTTTGGTCGAACCTTCAAAGGCCTGTGAGAGTGTGTGTGTGTGTGTGTGTGTGTGTGTGAGAGAGAGAGAGAGTGTGTGTGTGTGTGTGTGTGTGTGAGAGAGAGAGAGAGAGAGAGAGAGAGAGAGAGAGAGAGAGAGAGTGTGTGTGTGTGTGTGTGTTTGTTCAGATGCAGGGTGACAGCGGACATGAAAGGCCGGCTGGACGCCTCGATGAACCCACGACACCGACCTGCGAGTATCACCCTCTGACACCCCGCAGTGAGTGTATGTGTGTGTGTGTGTGTGTGTGTGTGTGTGGTGTGTGTGTGTGAGACAGCAGGCGGTATGTGGGTCACATCCCCAAAGAAAAAAAAAAACCCTCTGTTCACATTTTAGTGTGAAGATTGTTTTTTACGTCCTGTCGTGGTGCGTTTAGGGTCACTCTGCAGGATGCATCAGTCTGAGAGACGTTCAGGGTACAAACACAGAGACAGGAGGTGTGTGCAGGGTTTCAATGCATCCTGCAAAACCTGGAAATTTTGCAGACTAGTCGTGGAAACACCTGGATCTTTTTGGCGTTAAGTCTAATTTTTCCGCAGCTGTGAACAGAATTCAAATTTATGTTTGTTGTTGTAATTGTAAATAATAATGTATTGTAAAATTAATAAATAAATATACAGCGATGTTAACTGTCTTTCTAGAAGAGGAACTTTATGTAAAATAAAATAAATTCTACTAGATTCTACAATCAATCAGTGATCGATCAATCAGAGCCGTCTGAAGTAAAGTGTAATTTATAAAAATCCAGAATACAGACAGAGAAATGTATAAAAAGTTCGCTAAACAGGAAATAATCTGCTCATAATTCAACCTAATCTCTGCAGTCACTGAGTTCACTGTTTGGGTTCATTGTACAGTTTTAATATAATCTGAAATATCCATAAGATATGATGAATTTTAATAAATGATATAAAATGTGTCCCTGAAGGGAAAAGGTTGGGAACCAGTGAACAGATGATTTGTACCACAGTTGTTTAGCAGCTTGTTGTCGGCTCTGAGCACATTCGTCCTGCAGCTGTTCACCTTCACTGACCGCTCATTAACGGTCCGTCTCATCATCCTGCGAGGGCACTATCGTTCACTTTACTGCCCCGGGGCTGTTGATCAATCAGAGATAACAATAGTGATTGGATGCCTGCAGCTGCTGAGCTGTCGGCCTCGCAGTCACTTTACTGGATTTATTTATTATGAAACAACAGTGAAAAGTTTCATCCTGGTTGGATCAGATTCTCTCTCATCTGAAAGAGGACATTATTGATCTCACACCGGTCAGAGCTGCAGCCAGCGATGCATTAATAGTTCAGTACAAATAAAAATGACAAAATGAAGTCACTGTCACTTAAAATTATTAAAGCTTCTAGATCAGCACTATAAAACCAGGTAAGTTAATTAAACTCTAATCAATTATATATATAATCTATAATCAATTTTGTAAATTAAAAAAAACATCTTTGATCAAGTAGCTTTAGTGATTTTAAGAGAGAATAACTTCATTTCTATTTGTACAAAAACTAAATAATTAATTAAAAGTACTGAATCAGGAATCAAAGTCTGTAAAACCAGACAAATTAATTTAACACAACTAAAACTAAAAAGCTTTTACTGGTAATTTTAAGTGACACTAACTCACAGAAACATTTCTGGTGTTTCGTTTTCACAGCACAAATAAAAATTACAAAATTTAGTCAGTGTCACTTAAAATGACTGTAGCTACTTGATCAAAGATGTTTTATAACTTAGAAAAAATTAGTTAGTTTTACTTAAAGTTTTCGCTGTAATCAGTGTTTTAAGTTAAAGTAACTTCCTATTAACTTACAGTGTAGAAATATAGAGCAATAATAAATATACAACGGAGGAAATAAGACACAGCTTTGCCATTCACTGTGGTTTATATTAGTACTTTATCTTCAGTAAAGTATTGATCCTCCACCCACAGCCTCACTGTGTGTTACCAGCCTTCCCTTTATCTGTAACTGTAATCTGACTTGTGGGGCTACGTTCGGGGGGCTGCGTTTGGGGGGCTACGTTCGGGGGGCTGCGTTTGGGGGGCTACGTTCGGGGGGCTGCTCGGGGCCACGTACCTGCTGCGTCCGGTCCTGGTTTGAACTATTTTAACTGCTCTGAGTGAGAGTCTATAAACAGGACTTTACTGGGCTTCGTCTGGCTCTTAAACTACGGTAAACGGTTTGGAAAACGTGCTCGTATTGTAAGTCGGTGATGGTGAAAGCTGATCTTTGGCTGCTGGAGCGGAGCGCTGTGACCGGTGGAGCTGGAGGAGGTGGCGGAGGAGTGTAGTGGCGTCCTCTGGCCGTCCTGCTGTTCATCAAAACTAAACGAGCTCATAAATCCAAACGACACGCCACCGCTGCAGGAAGCGGCTCCGCCAGCGTTCGAGGCCCAAACAGCTCGAGTTTAAGCGGCGGAGGATTTGAGCGTGATCGGTCGGCGCTGTGGGAGCGCTCAGCTGCTGGCAGGTTTACGACCCCGGCTGCTGCAGCCTTCTGCTGGAGGTCTGGAGCAGCAGAGAGCGAGGGCCCCGTCGTCAGGGTGATTGATGCTCCTGAAGCTGGCCGAGCTGCAGTTCACCTTGACTTCAGGAGACAGCGGCAGTGACAAACAGGCCTGAACACAGAGGCAACGTGTCACTTCCTGTTGTCGCTCTGAGGTCAGACGGACATTTCTGGACGTGTGTGACCAGACAACAACCACCACCAACATATCGGTTCTGTAGTGGCTCGTACGATTGGAATCAGTTAGTCTGCTGTTATCCAAACAGGTTGTGATTCCCAACCTTCGTCATACACTGACGACTCCTCGCCGATAAACTGTACAACCCAAACAGTGAACACAGAAACTGCAGGAAGTTCGGAAGAAGTTCTAGCAGATTATTGCATTGAGTTTTTCTTTTCCTGATATTTTTAGGAACTTTTTATTCTGTATTATTTATTTTCTTTCATTTTTATCAATCAAACAGACTTAATAGTTAATCGTTTTTGTCAAATTCAGTGTTTTCTTCTCATTGTTCTATCAGCTCCTTGAGTTTAAACTTTCAAGAAGGCCTTGCCAATGGAATGCTTATATTTTCACTAGCACCAAATCTTGGTTTAGGAGCATGTTAGGGCCTCCACAAACGTGACCTCTCTGCGGGGGGGGTTCAGAAACACGACACAGCTGCCATTTTGTTTTTGTTTTGCAGAGAAGGTCTTGCTTATAGGCCGGGTCAGAGGTCAGTGCTTTCTTTTTCATAAACACGAGACAGATGGACATTAAGGAACTTCACTCCGTCAGCAGGACTATAAATATCGCTGTTATTCCAGTTATTATTCTGTTATTACTGGAGAGCTAATGACAGTGCTGTGGGAACTGACCTCTGACCAGCATACAGACTGATGTTAGAGGAATCCATCACAAACTGTGAGTCAAACTCACTGAGAGCTTTATATTCATCCAACACTGATAGATAAACCAATAAACCTCATACAGGGAGTTTTATTTGGTTTTTAGCCAGTAATTATTTCCATGTAAACTTTATTATTAACGTCTTTATATTTTATTAACAGTTAATTCACAACTTCCAAAAATCCATTTTATTATTTTTCCATTTGAAGTATAGCTTAAATTTAAACTGGTCAAATTCTGTCTGGACACTGCTGTGTACTAAACACTGAGGCATTAACATGAACTAGCTCTTCTACGTCCGTCTGTCACCGTGGATGTCTACCTCTTCTCTCTCTGTTTACCTTCCTGCACCTGTACGTCTCACACACACACACACACACACACACACACACAGGGCCACTGTCTTAAAGGGGCAGGGCTGGCTGGTGACACTCTCATTCTCTGTGTTTGACCTCCATCCCAGGTACGAGGAGCAGTGGACCTCCACCGTGTGGCCCCCAGGCTCCTGCTGATGAACTGATGGAGGAGGAGGAGGAGGAGGAGAAGGCAGATTGTTGCTCCTGCAGTCTCTAATGAACACAAACAGCCACTCGAACAGTGTCGTTGTCATAGAGACCGCATTGATTTCACCGCGAGGTTTCCGCTCTTCCACTTGATCCTGGTTTGTTCAGCAGACGTCAACACTGAGTCCGTTTCTGTTTCATTTCTGGATCCATCAGGACTCAACAAATAACAAATATTAGTTTGTTTATGGACACGATATCTTTCATAAAACAATATTATTGATGTATAAAGTAAAACAAGACACAAGAGGACGAAAACTACAAAATAAAACAGGAAGTAACCAAAGAAAGAGGAGTTTTTTAAGTTTCTATCAGCTCTATTGTTTACAGAATTAAAAGTATAAAATATCCATCTCTACTGTTGGAGCAAAAGACAGCGTGCATTAAAACGAGTAAAGACGAGAGGGATGGAGAGACTTCCCCGTATTCCTGTGTACAGATCAATATCAATGCTGAGATACAAATAAAAGTGTTTTAAGTGTTACAACTGTTTTTATTTAGTATCATAAGTAAAAGAACTGATTGTGCAGATTATTTCAGTTCAGAATATTATTGGATTATAATTATTGATGCATTAATGTGTGAATGAGGAACTAATATTATTCTATTTATTTATATTTTATTGATTCTATTACACTATATTAACTTTATGTCCCAGAATTTACTGTTGATTTTAATGATTATATTTTGGATTATTAATCAAAGAAATGTGCTAATTGTTAGGCTAAATGTTACAATGTTAAATGAACTGATTGATCAGTTAATCTGGGATTGATTACAGTAACGTGTTGATTTAAATAAACCTTAAACTTCATCAGATTAAATAACAACAATAATAACACCTGGAGTTTTATTATAAGACGCAGTAACACAGTGTCTCCCTGTTGCTACACACCTCCTGGGATTGGGGCGGTGGTACAGGTCAAAGGTCAACGTGTCAGCAGGTGGCGTCCTTCTTATCTCCCGACCTCTGAGTGACCTCGTCAGCCGCAGCCTGAGAGTCGCCACCGATTCGTCCTCGTTACCGGCGAGCCTCTCAGACAGCCTCTGCCTCCCTCCTCCTCACCCGGCGCTCTCTCCTCCTCAGGCGCCACATCCGTCTCGCGATTGGGTGTGATCCTGGCTGGTAACCATGGCGACAGTTGCCGGGGCCAGCCAGCAGAGCAGAGCAGAGGAACTCAAACGTGAGGACTGTTGAAGGACAGTGGATGGAGAGAGGAGGGGGGTGATCCAGTGGTGGGGAGTCCAGGATGATGGGGGAGGATGTGGGGGAGGATGAGGGGGAGGAGGAGGGGGAGGGTGTGGGGGAGGATGAGGGGGAGGGTGTGGGGGGTTCAGTAGGTGAAGACAGCCAGCTGGGTCCTCGGAGGCGGGCCACAGGTGTGTGTGTGTGGATGAAATAAATGAGCTCATCCACAGGGAAGTGTCACAGTCTTTGTTTTCTGACTCTTTGTCTCCAGAATAAAGAAACCTTCAGCTCCAGAAATATTCCAGATTCAGACCTACAGACCTTTTTCACAGCAGCCACACATGAATTAGTAGGGTAAACACAGGCGCTACCAGCGATGCTAAATAAAGAAATCAGAGAGCTGGTTGCTTCCTGTAAAAACAGGCTAGCTGCCCTCATCAACCAAACTCCATTCACAAAACAAACATTTTAAAAGAGCAACAAAGACTCATGATGAAGTTATTTCAGCATCTGTTTATTGACATTAAACCACAGCAACATCTGTTTATTTTAGGCTCATACCAACATTATCAGCCAGATTAAAGGGCAAATATTCCCTTCTACATCACTACTCTCCAACGATAACAAATCTGCAGACTCATTCGCTGACGTTAGCTTGTGAGCCTCTGGACCGTTCGCTGAAGCTCCCGAAAATGCCATCAGAGATACGAGAGCAAGACTTATATACATATGTTTCCCATTGGTTGAATGAATCCTTATCCTATAGTAGATTCTATGTTATTCTGTTGTTTGGAAAAAGTGTCTGTACTTCTGTCGGCACAGTGCGACCGGTGTACAGTAGACACTGACAGTAGACACTGACAGTAGATAGTGACAGTAGATACAGACAGTAGACACTGACAGTAGATACTGACAGTAGATACTGACAGTAGACACAGACAGTAGATACTGACAGTAGATACTGACAGTAGATACTGACAGTAGATACAGACAGTAGATAGTGACAGTAGATACAGACAGTAGATACAGACAGTAGACACTGACAGTAGATACAGACAGTAGATACAGACAGTAGACACTGACAGTAGATAGTGACAGTAGATACAGACAGTAGATACAGACAGTAGACACTGACAGTAGATAGTGACAGTAGATACAGACAGTAGATACAGACAGTAGATAGTGACAGTAGATACAGACAGTAGATACTGACAGTAGATACAGACAGTAGACACTGACAGTAGATAGTGACAGTAGATACAGACAGTAGATACAGACAGTAGACACAGACAGTAGATACTGACAGTAGATAGTGACAGTAGATAGTGACAGTAGATACAGACAGTAGATACTGACAGTAGATACTGACAGTAGATAGTGACAGTAGATACAGACAGTAGATACTGACAGTAGATACTGACAGTAGATACTGACAGTAGATACAGACAGTAGACACTGACAGTAGATACAGACAGTAGATACTGACAGTAGATAGTGACAGTAGATACAGACAGTAGATACAGACAGTAGATACAGACAGTAGATACAGACAGTAGATACGACAGTATACAGACAGTAGATACAGACAGTAGATACAGACAGTAGATACTGACAGTAGATACTGACAGTAGATACAGACAGTAGATACAGACAGTAGATACAGACAGTAGATACAGACAGTAGATACTGACAGTAGATACAGACAGTAGATACAGACAGTAGATACAGACAGTAGATACAGACAGTAGATACAGACAGTAGATACAGACAGTAGATACTGACAGTAGATACTGACAGTAGATACAGACAGTAGATACTGACAGTAGATACAGACAGTAGATACAGACAGTAGATACAGACAGTAGATACTGACAGTAGATAGTGACAGTAGATACAGACAGTAGATACAGACAGTAGATACAGACAGTAGATACAGACAGTAGATACAGACAGTAGATACAGACAGTAGATACTGACAGTAGATAGTGACAGTAGATACAGACAGTAGATACTGACAGTAGACACAGACAGAGACAGACAGTAGATACTGACAGTAGATACTGACAGTAGATACAGACAGTAGATCAGACAGTAGATACAGACAGTAGATACTGACAGTAGATACAGACAGTAGATACAGACAGTAGATACTGACAGTAGATACAGACAGTAGATACAGACAGTAGATGCAGACAGTAGATACATCAGAAAGCATTGACACTGTCAGAAACATCTCCTCTGAATGTTAACTGTGATAGATAAACGATGTGACGTCCACACAGATAAACGTCGCTCTGACTGACCTCCGCAGTCTGACAGTCGACTTAATGTGATAAAAATCTGTCTTTACAGTGAGTAAGAGTGAAAGCTCGGGTCGATGGCTGACGATCCTCAGAGAGCGGTGGCGTGCTAATCTCTTCTTTAGGACTCTTCAGTTTTTGACACTCGCTGACGTCGTCTGTCACTGTCCAACTCTCAGCCATCCGTCCTGCATCCCAAAGCTCGCAGCGTTGGCGGTGTCCCGGTGGGTTCGTATTTAAGATGAGTGCTGTGTTACCATGACAACCTGGGGTCAAATCTGGCCCACTGCGGTCGACGCTCTCCTAAACTTTCCTCTGTCTGACGAACGCAACGTGAAAACAACAATGTGAGCCAGTTTCACCCAGAATAATCGCGTCTTACTACGGCGGTACGAAGCCCAATCATTTAATGATGATAATTAATTAGTAATAATTAATAATGATGCAGAAATAACTAAATTGTGATGATCATCTGTAAAAGGTCTGCAAGACGACCAGCAAACGTTTAAAATGCTTGTTTTCTGAGTGGAGTTTGGTTGATCAGAGCTATGCTAACTTCCTTTACAAGAACATATTTTCCAACTTTCTCTCTTCCTTTCCTCCAACAATCTCCTTTGTTTTTCACTCTCTGTATAAATATGAAGTAATATCACAAAGCAGAAACAGCATTTTAATATGGGGCCTTATGGAGACTCACTGCTGGAGCCAGACTCTAGTGGCCGTTAGAGGAACTGCAGCTTCTGTTACTTTGGCTTCAATCTACACTTTTATTATTTATGAAACTCACATATAAAACGTCTTCCATAACAAACACATTTGTTTTCAATGAGTTCTTGTTTTTAATGATGATCGACTGTGTGTGTGTGTGTGTGTGTGTTTTTTAATCCACACACTGCTGCTCAGGAATTTGACCTTGTGACCTCCGACCCGGATTCACCCCGAGAAAAATGCTGTGTGTGTGTGTGTGTGTGTGTGTGTGTGTGTGTGTGTGTGGAGAGTGTGTGTGAGAGAGAGTGTGTGTGTGTGTGTGTGTGTGTGTGTGTGTGAGAGAGTGTGTGTGAGAGAGTGTGTGTGTGTGTGTGTGTGTGTGTGTGTGTGTGAGAGAGAGAGTGTGTGTGAGAGAGTGTGTGTGTGTGTGTGTGTGTGTGAGAGAGAGTGTGTGTGTGTGTGTGTGTGTGTGAGAGAGAGAGTGTGTGTGTGTGTGTCTGTGTGTGTGTGTGTGTGTGTGTGTCTGTGTGTGTGTGTGTGTGTGTGTGTGTGTGTGTGTGTGTGTGAGAGGCTCCTGGGAAAATACAGAGATCTTGGCTGAACCTGAGTGTTGCAGGTTGACCTTTGACCTTTTACCACCAACTTAAGATCCTGTCCAGTTCTTACTCTCTCGCTATCTGACTCGGTTTCTCCTTCTTACCCACAATCCTCTGGGATAAAACAGACCTTTCTCTCCCACACGGCTCAGCTGACCTTTTCTGGCTAATGAGAACCTGCTAGCGCGGCGTGCTAACATCTCTGTGACCTCTGACCTCTGCGCAGCACATGGCAGTGATTACAGGAGCCGGGAGGAGTCGATGCGTTTGTGTTGTTGTTTTTCTAGCTGATGAAACCTGAAAGCCTCAAACCCTCCCGACACAACACGAGACACAGCGAGCAGCTATGACTTATTGCTGTTAATGCTACGCTTTATGATTTTTATTATAATGAGCTGAGGATAGAAACATTATTATTCATCCACTGAGTCACAAACCTGGAAATCCCAGCAGATGAACCCTCCGGCGCTTTCACACGCCGCTCTGATTCACCGCTGTGTAACGGGCGCTCACACATGCTGCGGCGCCCACGCTCGCATTGTGTCACCGCCTGTGAGCGGCGGAGGGGATTCGGCTGCCGGGCTCACGGGCAACACGAGCTGCCTCTTCCACCGCTGAGGGTTTCGTCTTAATAATGCAGAACAGACGCAGTCATGTAATCACACATGTGGAGCGACTGAGCGGCGTCCTGCGG